TAGGCAGCGAGCCTGCGTGGTGGAGCTGATGGTAGCAACATTGACTTGGAGGGAGACAGACACAGGAGTAACAACACTTGAGGGAGGAAAGACCAGAATTTCAGTTTTGGTCAAGTTTAGTTTAAGGAAGTGGGCAGCCATCCAGTTAGAAACAGCAGAGAGGCAGTCAGAGACACTAGTCAAGAGGGACGGGGAGAGATCAGGAGAGGACAGGTAGATTTGCATGTCATCTGCATAGAAATGATATTGGAAGCCAAAGGAGCTAATGAGTTTACCAACGGAGGCAGTATAGATGGAGAACGGTAGAGGACCAAGGACTGAACCTTGTAGGACACCAACAGAGAGGAGTTGGGGAGAAGAAGCAAATCCAGAGAAAGAAACACTGAAAGAGCGCTGGGAGAGGTAGGAGGAGCACCAGGAGAGAGCAATATCTTGTAGACCGATATTGAGGAGGATGAGAAGAAGCTGTTGATGATCAACAGTGTCAAAAGCCGCAGATAGGTCAAGGAGAATTAGGATAGAGTAGTCACCACGAGATTTTGCAGCGAGTAGATCATTGGATACGCTACTTTAGAAGGTATAAATATGGGACACAGACATGCCAGTGATTCACGTCACCTGTGATGTGGTGGGTGCGGTGCTTCCTGCAAATGGGGCCGTAATGCCATAAAAGAGATCATGCCATTCTGTAGTCCTTGCACGCCAGGCTGAAGAGTGGCTGCTTTGGCCAGCCCAGCACAAGGGCTATCCACTGTTGAAGCTCTGGTATATGGACTATCATGAGTTCAGTTTGCACAACAATTCTAATGATGCATTTATGCTAAATTAATTTGGACATGATGCTTCAGGGGACTCCAAAGATCAAACCTTTTATAGTATGTCAGGAGAACAAAATCACTGGCCCTGGGACTATTGGTAGGCATGCATTTTCTAATACAAAGTCCTGAACAATTGGATTTATCCAGTATGCACAACATTCAATTGAATTAAATATATTACAAATTGGGCCAAATACAACAGATAGCATTTGACAAACTCACACATTACCTATTGCGTGAAATTAACCTTAGTAACTACAAATTCACTAATGGGGAAAGTTAAACTCAACAGATCTAGATATTGATATGAAATCATATTAACATGTACGTGTAAGTTGCCCAGGAATCCCTCCAACTAATGCACTTGTGTTTAATGGTACCATGGCTGTATTCAGCTTAATGTGTCACCTAATCAATCACTTTCAGTAATGATTTCAGATGCTGAAGCTCACCAGGAAATATTCCACAAGGCCAAACAAAGCTTAAAGAATATTATGATTATGGGCCACCAGCAAAGGCCTTGCAAAATTCCTGCTTACTACCTCATTCCTGCAGAACTGTGCAAACAGACATCACAACACACTTCCCACTACTCAGAAGAATGTTTGAGTGGGCACACCACAGCCCCTTCTACCACGGTCCTATGTAACTCCGCCTCCAGCAGGTTCAAAGGTCACGCGGACATCATCAGCACACACGCACAGTTTGGAATCACATAATCCCTGCCCACCAATAACAGGGAAGAATAGGCTATTTAAATCCCTAACTGTGCTTCCTATTTGCCCTGTTATGGTTTCCATCCTATGGATTTAGGGCTGGTATTAAAGTTGCAACAATGTTGCAGAAAATGGAGGAGTTTTATATGGAGAAAGGAGGGGGGGCGACTTACCAGTTAGCAGGATCAGTTGACTGAAATTTCCACCCTCCCACCATGGATTGTGTGGTCTCTCTCGTTTTTCTCTCTCTATTGTCACTGTGTGGGATCATTCTGGACTATCACACTATCATTCTGTGTGTTTGCCTTCAGCAACTGAAGTTGGCTGGATGAGAGTTGCAAGAGTCATATTCTTGCTATGCTTGATGAAGACCTGTTGTTGGATTCATAACCATCAGTGTTTTTTGTCCTATTAATATCAGTATTTTCACGTGTTGCTGCTTTTGGAGCAGAGCCTGTACTTCATGTATTTAATATTCTATATGAATCCGTGATCAAAAAGGTTTTGGCAATAAAAATACTTTGCCAGCATGTCTCGCAAGTCTTGATATACTGTATCAATTTTTATGGCTGCAATTGTGGAAACAGTAATCAATTCAATTAGGTATTATTGTCAGGCCGTACGAGATATATTTTGCTCAAAGTACTTGGCAAGTTAATTCAGTTAGAGTGTATGCCCTCTCAGTTTCACATTAATTCTACTGCTCTCCATCTCTTACTTCATATTCTCTAATTCATCGCCATGTAGTGTCATTTTACAATGCGGTGTTATTCATTACAAATGGAGTTTTCAATGTGTGCCTGGATTTGTAAATTTCTATACTGACATGTATGCTATACTTCACATATGGTCTTTTGTCATCTTTACCTTATCTAACATTACCTGCTCTTCAAGTTATACTGATAATCAATTATTTGACTTAGCACAGCCTTATCCACAAAGGAATAAAGATAACTAAATATTCTTTTCACATTTTGGTGATCTGACCTACTTGTTAATCAATATTTTTCTTTTCACAATGTTTTCAGTAGTATTATATCAGCCCTTCTGAAAATTCCAGTGGGTATGTTAATTTATGAATTCCTTTACCCAAAATCGAAACTATGCTTCTTCAAATTCCTGACAATGGATTCCAAGACTTGTCATATTGCAGCACTTCTTAAATAGTAGAATAAACTATTAATTTGTTCCAACTGGTATCCAAGACCTTTAGCAGGAATATATGACAGACCAACTTAAATGCCCCTATTGTGTGGCCACCCTTAGTGGACTCAATCCACAATCAAATAGGAAATATGGAAGATGGTTAGCACACTCACATAATCATTTGTTGTTTGGTTTCTCCTGTTTCTGCACTTTGTTATAATTCTCTTCATAAATTAAATGAGCTGATGGAGCACTGGCCTTTTTTTGTATTTATTGGAGTGCGCTATCTTCTATATTTGGTGTAGTGCAGCACTTGCTCTGCTGTTCAAACTTCATGTACGTGAATGAGGGTACAAAACAGAAGTTCATGGAAGATCCCCAAGATGTTAGATAGTAGATCTTATTTTTTGCATAGCAAGAGAAGATGCATGTTCATGATGGATAAAGGGAAATAGCGGAATATGAAGATAGAAGCTTTGTCTATTGTCACATTAAGTGAAACAGACTCTTGGCAGGTGAATACAAAAGGAACTAAAGACAGAAGATGAGCATCAGATATATATGTTGTTTTACTACTCCCTGCAGTCTCCACCATTCAAGCCGTCGGGTCACCTTACAGGTGGTCGTGGTAAAAATGATCCTACAAGTCACAGTACCTCAGTAAGTTTGGCCAGCTCTATCACCTAATATACACCTTAAATAAAATGTCTCTGTATGTATGTTTCCTCTTTTCATGGAAGTGTAACGTTAGTTGAGGGTACTCCATTCACATACTGGAACCCAACCAACTGTTTTGCTCCGTCCTTGACTTCTCTTCAGGGCATACAAAATGCTTCTTTTTCATATGCTAGCTATCGATTTTCTGTTGTACTGTGATTCCTAAAATTAGAACAGTATACATGAGAAACAAGATTTTCACTATCTGTATCATTTTTTAGTGTACTGATTAATTGACAAAGCCTTGACAGAAGAGCCATTTTCATTTTTGAATTTCTGAGATCTTTTTATACTATCATATTTATTGTATTTTAGCATGTCAATAGTCACAGGTTAATAAGGCGTAATAAAGCAGAAAAAAACAGTTACATTGCATGAGATCCTCTTATTGAATAATACTTCATACTCAGTAACCCCGATAATCTTGTCCTTTGTGACCATGTGGAAAGAAAATGACACCACTGAGGGAGTGAGATACATCTGAATGCTCGTGTTAAAAATCTATTCTGTATAAATATGCAGCCATGTAGATCACAGTAAAAGTGTATGCAGCTTAAAATATTAAAAATAGATTTAAATGCATGCAGGTATGCAGTACTGTCCTCAGGTGCAGCTTACTCTTACAGCAGCTGGGAATTCTAAGATTAAGGATGCTGATGAAATCAATTTCATTATGCAAAATATTCTTCATCGCTTTAAACATATTTTCCTATGGAATAGTGTATTTGTGTATGTGTGAGCATGCATTATGAGTTTGCTTAAAAGAACAGATATAAAAAAATGAGCAAAAATTTGCCTTCTAAGTCTGACTTGCACTTATATTAAATACTCCATTCATAGTAATCAAACATTGTATTTTTTAAATAAATATCTGATAGAAAAAGCCTTAAAATTCATATATTTGATCACACTTGGCATTAAATGTGGATCGCAGACAAAATACAAGGGTTGCATTTTATGACGTATTATATATCACAGTAAAGAACCAAGCAACCAGGCATATTCTAGAAGTAATATTTTTCAGTGTGTTTCTTGCACACATTGTAATTTTGTGGTGAATTGCATAGACCTGATGCATCTTACCAGGGCCAGATTCCGAGAAAAGTTCAGCCGAGGCATTGAAAATCAAAGCAGCCCAGTAGGAGGCACTGAGGCCAGAGAAGGGGTTTAGTGTAGCATCACCAATGACAAGCATGTCACTCCAATATGAGCATTTTTTTTGTTCAATGGTCTTCCAGGCTGTTGGTTGTGTCGAGCCCTGTGTGATACCACAGAGGAAGCCACTGCTGTCCAAACAAAACATTGCTGCACGTTTACAGTTTGCACAAGAGCACCTGGATGTTCCACAGCAGTACTGGCAAAATATTCTGTGGACAGATGAAACCAAAGCTGAGTTGTTTGGAAGAAAAAAGTGTGGTGAAAAAAAGGCACAGCACACCAACATCAAAACCTCATCCCAACTGTGAAGTATGGTGGTGGGGGCATCATGGTTTGGGGCTGCTTTGCTGCGTCAGGGCCTGGACGGAATGCCACCATCGAAGAAAAAATCAATTCCCAAGTTTATCAAGACATTTTGCAGGAGAACTTAAGGCCATCTGTCTTCTGAAGCTCAACAGAAGATGGGTGTTGCAACAGGACAATGACCCAAAGCATAGAAGTAAATCAACAACAGAATGGCTTAAAAAGAAGAAAATACGCCTTCTGAAGTGACCCAGTCAGAGTCCTGACCTCAACCCGATTGAGATGCTGTGACGTAACCTCAAGAAAGCGATTCACACCAGACATCCCAAGAATATTGCAAAACTGAAACAGTTCTGTAAAGAGGAATGGTCAAGAATTACTCCTGACCATTGTGCACGTCTGATCTGCAACTACAAGAAATGTTTGGTTGAAGATATTGCTGCCAAAGGAGGTTCAACCAGTTATTAAATCCAAGGGTTCACATACTTTTTCCACCTGCACTGTGAATGTTTACATGGTGTGTTCAATAAAAACATGGCAACATTTCATTCTTTGTGTTTTATTAGTTTAAGCAGACTGTGATTGTCTATTGTTGTGACTTAGATGATGATCAGATCACATTTTATGACCAATTTGTGCGGAAATCTATATCATTCCAAAGGGTTCACATACTTTTTCTTGCAACTGTATATGATGCAGAGGGGTGGGGAGAGGGCATTTTTGACTATTTTTAATATTTGTATTATTTTATTTTAATATTTTTAAATATTTTAATATTTAATTGTTTCTTTTTTTTTGTCCCCCCTCCCTGCTTGTTACTTGGCCAGGGAGGGGGGCTAGGTCATTCCCTGGTGGTCCAGTGGCATTACCTTTCCTGCAGCTCCTCCAGCTCCCCAGTGTAAATCTTGCGGTCTGCGCGACACGTGGAGCGTTGCCACGGTAACTCGTGGCAACGCTCTGATGGCCGCAGGTCTCGTGAGATTTACAATGGGTGATGAACGGAGATGCTGGGAGGTAAGTAACAGCTTGCTGCCGTCCCCCAATGTAAGTTGCCATAATACAGACCCTGACTTAAGTATAGGCCGAGGGGGGCTTTTTCAGCACAAAAAATGTGCTGAAAAACTCGGCTTATACTCGAGGATATATACGGTACTTATTGTATTAATTTAAATCCGTACAGCCTCCCTACCTTTGGGAGAGCTGGAGTGGATTTTTCCCTGGGGCCCAGTGGGGCTGCTGGGCTGCCTGCTGCTTCCTCCTGGGCTCTCTACTGAGCTGTCTGGCAGCTGCTGGCTCTGGTGGATGGGCAACCGTTCAATGCATGGGGTGAGGGAGCTGTAATATTCCTGTTCAGCACCCTCAAGTGCCGCTGAGTGATGCTTGGAGCTGGAATGACGTATTATTCTGGCTCAAGCATAAGCTCTGAGCGTGCGAGGGAGCTGAGCAGGAAGAGCTCAGAGGATGGCTCTCCCTCACCGCCAACCCCGATTATTGTCAGCCGCGCACCTCTGGGGGACCCTGAGGTGGCCAGCTGGCCAGCTTTTGGGTCCCCCATTAAAGAGGCTAGCAAGACATGTGCCAGGGCACTTAAGGGGACAGCATTTTTTGCCGTCCCCCCTTGAAGTCCAGACCAAGACAAATGCCTTGTTAGCCTCGCTGTAAATACAGCACTGTGAGTAGGGCTGCATAAACATAAACAAAAGTGACTTAACTCCTAAATGGCAGAAAATTGAGCAGTGCAACTTCAGAGGCATGATCAATGCACATAAACTGCTTCAGAACTGCTTCATTGGTGCATAAACAAATGCTGTGGCATTAAGAGAGCTGTGCATAAACAAATGATGTGGCATTAAGAGAGCTGTGCATTAACAAATGCCAGGAAAACTAAAAGAACGTAATCAGCGTTGTAAAGAAGAGTGTGCCAGAATTTCTCCACAACGATATGAGAGACTGGCATAGTTATACAGAAAACAATTACTTCAGGTTTTTGCTGCTAATGGTGGTTCTACAAGCTATTAAATCACTAAGTGTACTGAGTTTTTCACACATGGCTTCTCTATTTAGGTTTCCTTTTTGGTAAATAAATCATGACAATGTGTAATATGTCATTTTTTGTTGTTTTTCTGTGGTTGTATTTACCTAATTGTAAGACCTGCATAGGAATTGATGAATGTTATGCCCTGATATGTAATACTATAGAATTCAAAGAGGGTGTACTATCTTTTTCCCATGACTGTACATACAAATACACAAACACTGCTCACAAGTATAACCTGCAAGGATGGGCAAATGGTATGTCCCCAGCTGGCATAGCATCTTAAGAGTTGTACAACAGATGGGGATCTACCTTTTGCCCAACCTTGTGCTAAAAGAGGGCCCCAAAAAAATTCTTGCACCAGAGGCCTTTCTACATTTGTTATCAAACTGGGCAAAACGCATCAGATGACAGTGACATAGTTCACAGCAGATTCATATTTTAAGAAACCACTACTGAGGAGTTGATCCATAGTTCCACAAAATCAGTGCCTCATGGTGTGTATTAAATGGCCAGCATCGAGGGTATGGTGGCCATCACTAAGGCATTGAAAATATATAGAATATAAAATGGCAGATCATAATAAATAGTTAAACAAAGAAGGTAAAATACCTGTAATAATGATTTTTAAAATATTGTAATATATAACATATCATATGTCATAATATATTATATTAATACCAGTGATAAATAAAATAGAGATATGAAATCTCAATGTATCTTTCCTGGTAAAATATTTTATTAATAAATAATAAATAAATAAGGAGAATTTTAAAACACCAATGTTTATTTAACCAAAACTATTGTACTCGCTCAACAGTACTGATTTAAGAAGACAAGTTTTCTATTAATATATGTGCATGAATGTCATAAAATTCTATGTAATGTTGTTATACTTCACTTTCAATAAGAAATGCTTCATGAAACGAATATTCATTTATTTCTTTACTTACGTGAAATGACAACTGCCCTGGTTTCAGGGATTTGGTTGATACAGTGTGTGTAAAGCTGAATTGGCATTTTTCCTGAAAGTCCTAAACTAGTCACGCAAGGTAATAAATGAAATAACCACCCGTTCTGACAAAGCGAAGATGCTCACCAAGTCAATCTTTTCCACACTGTAGAGGACAATTTGAAAAATCTCTGGGAACTATTTACTAAATGCTGAATTGTGTTAGCCATAATCTAATGTTAAATTTAGACCCACACTCTCCTGTTAGCAAAAAATATCAAGAGTCAATGTATATTGTTTGTCTAAATAATTTTTAGTTTTTTATTTCATACTAATGCAGGTGTAATATTTTGACAATTTTATAAAACTAGCTTTAATTCTGTGAAGTATGTAATTTAAAATTGAATCTTGTCAGGACTTAGTGTGCCGTATGTGGTCCCTGCTTTAGCTGGAACCTCTCCAGTCCCAGATACAATATGGCGGCATTCTCGTCAGGTACACCACTCGTAAATGGATTCCCTAGTGGCATACGAGTGGCATCCCAGCCTCTCTCTTTCTGGTTTTAGAAAGAATAAAAAAACACCTTGACACAACTGGGTAATCCCTAAATCCTGGACTGGTAAGCGTGCCTTGAGCACTGGTTTGAAAACCACTGCTCTACCATATAAAAGACTGCCTCTCCATATCCATGACCTCAGCACTCATTTCTACTTTGTCCTATAGTAGTTGAGCTCCTGAGATACCTTTAGTGTTCCAGAGCTGGCTACTCCATGTAAACATCAGTAGCAAGTTGCTATTCTGTGCAAACACACAGTGTTCCAGAGCAGGCTATCTTGTGCCAAACCACAGTGTTCCAGAGCAGGCTATCTTGTGCCAAACCACAGTGTTCCAGAGCAAGATGCTTTCTGTGCAAACCAAAACATTATACTATTCCCACAACCATCATTATGGATGGCTTTGGGAACTGACAAAATGTGATGGAAGAAGTCCTACCTCTTGTCAAATTTGTTAGTCTGGATTTAAACATAAGGTAAATTAGTCAATACTCTGTCTTATAACATCGTTTTATATATATATATATATAAATATATATATATATATATATTACACAAACTTTTTAAAGAAATTTTTTACTACTTTAATTCTCCCCACTTTAATTTATCATCACGGAAGTGAGCAGGGAGTCACAGTTCAATTAATTATTTCCTTGCCTGTCTTCACAATCTATTGAATTAAGTATTTTCTCCTACTAAAAATTAGTCTAAAAACACATTAATTATCCTACTTTTTTTTTCTTGTATGTTTCTTCCCAGCCGTCTTGAACATTCTGTAGTATGTGCCTTGTTTAAAGCTATTTCCATCAAGTTTCATTCATGAATGTCTCAGTGTACATGAGTCATTAAGGAAACACGTGTCCCTAATAATGTAGAAGTCACCTGGCATACTGTATGATATTGTTGCTTCTCAACATGTATGACAACAAGTGCCTTCAATGCAAGGGGGGAAATCCAATTTTCATCATCTGTCTGTAGACAGAAAGCTAGACAGTGGCTCATCAACCACTAATGGTAGCAATCAAGTAGTTCCTGAGCTGGGAACAGACAAAGAAGTATTACATTAATCGGAAGCAATCAAAGTGTTCAATATGCTATTAATCCCTACTTACTACCTTCTAATTGAAAATGAAGAGGTAGCTATTTGCAGTTGTGATTTTTAATTATAATCGCTGTACAGGAGAGCAAGCACTATGTATTACAAGAATAGACGCTAGTAACAGAGTATTAATATTTATCTTAAAATATTAGAAGAGGCCATTACATTGGAAACGTTTCCTAGCTAACAAGGACTGCGATCATTAATAGAGAGCATTGATTTCCTTACGTTATAATGAATTTATAATATCAATTTCCTGCATTTATTCACCTCACTTTTGATACACTTACAGTAATTCCTTTTGGATTAGTATTTTATTTATCAATTTATAATGTATGTTATTATTTATTTATAATTTTGGCTTTGTATTTAATGCATGTCGTACCTGTTACTGGTTTTATCCACTTTATATATTTATATGAATATTCGGGTACATTGGGCGCTAGCGAGTGAACATTTAGCCCTAGGTAGTAGGATTTCACCCTTAGTGAGTGTAGTTTTTGTTCCGGTCCGTATGATGATTTGTAATTACATTGTAATGTATAAGCAATGAATCTAGAGGTTCTGAATTTGTGCCTGCATGTTAATTTCAGAGTTTTTTTTTACACATCTGAAGGGCATTAAAGTCATATAGTAAAGCAAATAGGCATCTGTTTTATCTTACAAGCATGCCTGTTTAATATAAATTAAATCCACAGTACACTAGTTTTTATTGATTAACGTCTTCTTTAATAAATGCACTGAAATTAGATACAAACAAATGGCTTTTTGTCTTTATCTTAACTATTAATGTTTAATATATATCTGTTCATGCAGCGGAAACATAAAAAAGGGA